GCTTCCACCCGGCCTTGTTTTTGGTCAGCAGTCGTGGCACGAATTTCGCAGCCACCCTTTTCATTCCCAAATCTTCTGTCAAAATTCGCTGAACTGAGCTCCAAGTGACTCCTGACAGCTCCACAATTTCTTCAATGGTCCGTCGTCGATCTTCCTTGATGATTTCATGAATTTTTTCCAACATTTTCATGTGTTCGGGCCGTGGAAGGACGACCAGAACGAGGTTTGTCATCGATTGACATTTCACCATTTTTGAAACGGGAAAACCACTCAAACACTTGAGTTTTCCCCATAGCATCGTCCTTGTACGCCGTTTTTAACATTTCAAGAGTTTCTGTTCCACTTTTCCTGATCAAAAAGCAGAATTTCACTGCCGCACGCTGTTCACGAAAATCAGCCATTGCAAAAACGACGATCACACAAAACAGTTGTCACTATAAACTCTGCCGAAACTAGTCCTTACCTTCTGAAGCAACGGTAGTCGGCTTATTGACTCAGGATATGAGCTCTATGCGCTCATAGCGGCAAAAAGCGGTACTACAAAAGCTCTGCCCACAAAAAAATTAGTTCGGTTTCTTTTGGGTACCCCCATCGTACATCTACATGATCATATCACATATTCACAGTAGGAATAGATGTAGATACACGAGCCTACTTCACATCAGCAACCGTAATTATCGCAGTACCTACTGAAATTAAGATTTTTAGTTGACTAGCAACAGTTCATGGGTCACAACTATCATATAGAGCAACATGCTTATGATCATTTCAGCTGTTAATTAAGGCATAGTTGTAACTTTTGTAATGCTGTATGTACTGGCAGTATAATGTTTCAGTGTAAATTTTGAAATTCTTTAGGCACCAGCTTGCTGCCTCTGTGCAGTCATTAATTTTCANAACCAACTGCCTCCATTACCGAGATACAGGGCGCTCATATTATAAGGTAAGGTTATAAAAACCATCTTTTAAGATCATTTTAGTGAAAGTTTCATGCTTCAAGGCGTACCATTCACTGCTCAAATACTAAAAAACCTGCTTCCATTGAAGATATAAAGGGCGCTCATATTATAAGGTAAGGTTATAAAACCACCTTTTAAGATCATTTTAGTGAAAGTTTCATGTTCCTATCTCATAGAATTTAAGAACAATGATGAATAAATCATTTTCGAGCAAAATTTAAATGGCCGGCTGAATATATTACCGCAGGAGACGCAGCCGCGGAATTTAAATTACCGTGTCAAAGGGTTAATTGTACAGTCCATTTAATGCCTTTATTACCTGTGCTGCTGAAGACTTGCCTATTATGCAGCATCAGAACTGACTGTACTAGACACAACCAAATTTTACATGTTGCTCAGGTATAGTGAGTAAGGTGATATTCTTTAAATCAGTTGAACTTAAAACACTGTAATTAACAGTCACAGTTAATTTGTGGGGCCTAACTACAGTTAACTTTATAGTTAAATTTAATTCAGTTAGGGCAAGGAATGGCTATATTTTGATTAAAGTCTCACCATTACAGGGCTGTGATTGGCCACACTGTGATACTGTTCAGGAAAGTATCTGGCTGTCATACTTGAGTGTTAATGTGTCTGCACATCACTTAGAGATTACAGAGACAATTTGGTTATTTTCTTGCAGCTCAGTGTACCTCTTTCAACCATCATTAATTGGGAACGTGAGTTTGAGACATGGGCTCCAGATTTCTACGTAGTGACCTACGTTGGAGATAAAGACTCGAGGGCTGTAATCCGTGAAAATGAATTGTCATTTGAAGAAGGTGCAGTAAGGGGCGGTAGAGCTTCTCGGATTAGATCAAATACTATCAAGTTTAATGTCCTGCTCACTAGCTATGAGCTAATCTCGATTGATGCAGCATGTCTTGGATCCATTGACTGGGCAGTCTTGGTTGTTGATGAAGCACATCGACTCAAGAGTAATCAGTCAAAAGTAAGTCCTGTGATTGCGTAGTATTCACATACAGTGGTATAGTTGCTGTGTATATAATTTAATTGAGATGTTGATTGATGTGTTGAATTTCAAGACCAAAAGAATGCACATGACTAGTATTGTATCATGTTATTTTGAACCCAACAGTTTGATTCTGTAATTTATTTTTAGTTCTTCCGCTTGCTGGCAAGCTACAACATTACGTACAAGTTGTTGCTGACAGGTACACCTCTACAAAATAACTTGGAGGAATTGTTTCATCTGCTCAATTTCCTGTGCCGAGAGAAATTTAATGATTTGGCAGCCTTCCAGAATGAATTTGCTGATATTTCAAAGGAGGATCAAGTTAAGAAGCTACATGAAATGTTGGGTCCTCACATGCTGCGACGCCTTAAAACTGATGTCCTGAAGGTATGTTGGAAGAATGTTCTGTTGAGGCATACGTACAATGTGTAATTCCTTTTAATGTACCTTAACATTCATGTGTTTTTAGAATATTGTCCGAGAGCATATCATATATTGAATGTGATACTCAAAATGGTAAACAAAGTGCACATAACTGTGTATGCGCGTTCATTCCATATGCAAGCGCTTTTGATGAAAGTGCGTATGCTCTGTCAGTTCATGTAAAATCTATGATAATAAAATTACAGGCAGCATATTCCCAGAAGCAAAACTCCACAGTGTTATCAGTGTAGAAATAATGTAATTTTGGTTAGGGTTCGTGAAGGTTGGTTGGTTGGCTGGCTGGATCGATATATTTGAATGATTAGTCATCACAGATTTTCAAGGATGCATTCTGAAGTTTCCTGCCCATAACTGTATGGTACTATAGCAAGGAACTCTTCCATGACAAGCAGTATTGAAATGACTTGTGAAATATTCACTGTGTTTTAACAAGAGAGTCACCATTAAAAAAAACTTTTCAGGAATAAACACATGTTGCACTCTCCACTTCTCTGTGTCTACTGCAACAGCATTAGGTAAGCTAGCAGATGACATTGTTCCCACCATCTCATCCTCAGGGGTTGCCAGCATAACACATTTTAAAAATCGTCAGTTTGCTTTGCCTCACTTTCTATGATGCAAACATTGTACTTCTTGTATAGAAACCTGTATTTTGAGTTATGTATTAATATTTCAGAGCATGCCATCCAAGTCAGAGTTTATTGTGAGAGTAGAACTGTCACCAATGCAGAAGAAGTACTACAAGTTCATCCTGACAAGGAACTTTGAGGCTCTAAATCCTAAAGGTGGTGGCCAGCAGGTATGTGCATGACATACTTTTATTGTATGCACTCTTTCTATCCACAGGTTTCCTCCATTCAGTTACACCACATCCATTGATTTGCTTGTAGCCTCTTCGTATCACAAATGCACCTTTCTAATGACCACAGATCCCATTCATTATGCACCATTCCCACTGGTTCCTTCTTAACCTCTTCCTTTCACAAATGTGGCCATTTTCAGGGCCACATTATCTTATTTCACAATAAAGATAGGCCAAAAACAACTGGAGAATCTGAAATGTTTTAAATATTTGGGTAGCTTGTTAACAGATGATGGAAGGTGTACTTGTGAAATTAAATCCAGGATTGCCATGGCAAAAGCTGCATTTAGCAAGAAGAAGAATCTTTTTACCAGCAAATTGGACTTAAATTTGAGGAAGAAACTAGTGAAATGCTACATTTGGAGCATAGCTCTGTATGGGGCTGAAACATGGTCACTTAGGGCAGTAGATCAGAAACATCTGGAAAGTTTTGAAATGTGGTGTTGGAGAAGGATGGAGAAGATCAGTTGGACCGATTGTGTGAGAAATGAAGAAGTGTTAATTAGAGTCAGTCAGCAGAGGAATATCCTACATGAAATAAGAAAATGGAAGGCTAATTGGATTGGTCATGTTTTACGCAGAAACTGCCTTCTAAAAGAAGTTATCGAAGGAAAGATAGATGGGTGGATAGAAGTGACAAGAAGATGAGGAAGAAGATGTAAGAAGATGCTGGATGACCTTGGGGACAGAGGAGGATACTGTCATTTGAAGGAGAAAGCTCTAGATCGCATTAAGTGGAGGAATTGTTTTGGAAGAGACTGTGGACCTGTCATCTGACAGATTACTGATGATGATGATGATGATTATCTTATTCATTTTACGCCATTCCCGCTGCTTTATTCTTAGTCTCTTCCTTTCACAGTTGTAGCCGTGTTCATGCCCACAGGAATCCATCACATTACTGCCAGTGATTCACCCTTGGCCCCTGTCCTTGTCCTCTGTTCCCTATATCACTGAATTTTTTTCTTCACAATCATTTTGCCATGAAGATGGAGATAGCCAGTTCCTTGAAAATGTTGGTAAATACTAATACAGTGAAATGTTGTTTTAATGAAATATTCAGTAAAACAAAATTATCTCTCTTCCACACCAGTTTGCTGTATATTTTTGGGTAAAACTTTTTCGCTTTGACAGATGCTAGTGTAAGGAAAATAGCAGTTTAACCAATAAAAATAGTCTGCTACAAAAAATATAATCGTAAGATTTGAGGCTTTCACGGCGGTGACTATGAAGAAAGCAGTCTTCTGGGATTTGGCACCGTGTATATGTGGTGTTAACCGACGTTTCGGAGGAACGTATCGCCCCCATCTTCAGGGTTGAAGAAGTATAAGTAAATCTGCAAGCGACAACACCGTGAGACAGTCTGCTTGACCGTGTCTCACGGTGTTGTCGCTTGCAGATTTACTTATACTTCTTCAACCCTGAAGATGGGGGCGATACGTTCCTCTGAAACGTCGGTTAACACCACATATACACGGTGCCAAATCCCAGAAGACTGCTTTCTTCAAAAAATATAATCGTTTTAACAATTTTTGTAAACCAAATTGGTAAACGATATGATGCGCAGTTTATGAAATTCCCCACACCATGTGCGAGTATGTGACATAAGGGGAGAAGACAGTATCATGAAGGTATGTTTCTAGAGAGAAACCCCAAGATAAAAATCAAACCAATCTCAACCACAACCCAAGACTACCAGCCAAGCAGTGCATTCCACCCTGCTGGCATTGAACATCATCACTTGTGCCAAATTTACATTGGTTGATCGCATGATTGTAGCTGCACAACTGAAATTGGAAATTAAAACAATGCTTTGACAGAATCAATCAGTGAATGTTTCAGTTCAACTGAAGTAGAAGAGGCATTGTTTACATTTGTGGATCTGAGTCTTACAATCCAGTTTTGATGCAGTCAGTATTGAGCACTTTGATTCAGCCATAGTAGAAATGTTACTGAAACAGGCTGTACATCATGGGAGGTGTCAACTTGTGCCACAGCTTTGTTAATTACAAGGCTTCTGTCACCACAAATTTCCCATATGGGAAGTTCATGGATAGCAGAAAGTGTGTTTCCTTCCCCAAAAATTTGAACATTTTTGAAGGGAATAAAGTTTGAGTCCAGAATGCAGCATTTGGCATTTCCTGTTTCCTTGGCTCATGTTGCAGATGTACAGAATTTGAAGAACTTAAGTTGATCCTTCATGCCAACCATTCCACAGTGCAGCATATCAATAAAGCAAACATGAACAAAACAGCACTGTCCCACCCATGAGTTGCAAATTAATGGGGGTTGACAGTGAGATACAGCGAAACCCATATTTATTTATTCTGTGGGAAAATAGCTTAGCTTTCAGTAAATTGGGGGCTTTCACTAAATGAGGGTTATGCAAGATTACATTGAGAAACTTTTCTTTTTCTTATAAGATTTCCAGTATATAATTGCAATAAAATAATTTCTTTACGGAAATAGTTAATGTAAAATAAGCATTGACATAAGTAAACTGTTTCTATACAAAAATGTTCAATTCCTTAATAATAAAAAATTAATTTGTGAAGCGACTAGTAACATGGAATAAACACAGAAAGAACCTCAGGTGATAAAACGTATGATTCCACAGATTGCATTACTACAATACAAGGTCATGACTAACCAAAGGTTATGATTGTATGGCACAGTTACCATCACGTAGGATGGATACACAAATATACATTTCTTATCCACAGTCACACCAAACTGAGGTATGAGTTCTGAGACGTCAAAAATTTCACACACTGTTTGTTTTTTATTACTCAAAATATGTGAAAAATAATACCTTGTTAAACTGGGCTTCATTTGTGATCAGGCAAAGTATTGTCACAAGTAAGGGTGACTTACAAGACGAGTTTTGGATTGGTGATTAGATGTATTCCATCTTTTACATTAACAGCTTGGAACTACAGGCGATTCAGTGCTATTATTGATCTGCACACTTTACAGTTCATTGTTGCACACCCACTAGGGCTCCAAGTCGTCTCTAGTCATATCTTGGCAGTGGATTTCTAACAGTCTCATTGTCTCTTGAAATCACGCATGAAGTCTTCTTTGCACTGCCTGATTCCTTTCTTGCCATTTTGTCTCAATCACCTTAAACTGCCATCTCCAGAACTTGACCCAGTTCTCCACAACAACTCAAATGAACTCTCTCATCTTCTGACAACTGACCTTCTCAACTGAACCTTTCTTTATAAGCACTTTGCACGGACGACGCAGAAGGAGGTGTGTTTACTGGTCCATTGGCTAGCAGTGGACATCCTATCGTTGCACACATTTGCTTCCATAGAATGTGTTTACCGACTCATTGCCTAGCAACGTCACAGCATTTACTAAATTGGTATTTCGTTGACATTGCTTTACCATTTACCGTCCTAGAAAGGGATATTAAACTTTCTGTTCTGTTGGGTTTGTGGTTGGATTTAGGTCAGGGATAACCATTTATCATCCAGGAGTAACTGTTCTCCCAATACTGTGGGGCTGGTTCCCATATTTTAGCATGGAGGGTTGGGGTGGAGTAGTAGTATTAAAACTGTACAACACTCACTCAGCTGGAATATGCACATGCACTTTTACGATATTATAGTGCACTGCTGGTAAAAGTTTACGTTCTTCTCATGTTCATGTTTATCTCATAAAAGAAAGTCCCAGTACTTTTTATTAGGCATGATATTATCTAGAATAATGATCAGCAACACAGCCGTCTCTCACGGCTCTGTGACATCTTTCCATTTGGAAGTTTCTGATTCTGCTCCATACAGATCAGAGTTTTTATGTTATATTTTACAGGTGTCATTATTAAATATAATGATGGACCTGAAGAAGTGCTGCAACCATCCTTACCTATTTCCAGCAGCTGCACAAGAGGCTCCTACTACTCCAAATGGAACCTATGAAACTACAGCACTCACGAAGGCTTCTGGCAAGCTGGTGTTGCTCTCTACCATGTTACGTAAACTCAAGGAACAAGGCCACAGGTAATGGATGAAGTGACTTGTGTTCAATTTGAATCTTTATCAGGTCTCATATTAACATCATGGTTGATATCTGCCTCTCTCAACCCTTACAGGCAAATGCTAGGACCTTTCCTTCAGTCACCCATGCCTATTTCATCCCCAATCCCTTCTACTGCAGTATTGCAAGGTGAAATAAAATTCACACACAAGCTCTCCTTGGTGTGATGCTTTGTAAAAAGAAAAAAGAAGTAGAAAATATTATTTAGTGTATGTCCTGTGATGAGTTTTCAGGATACACATCACCACCAAGTAGTGCAAGCTATCTAATGACCAAACCATGAGCACCTCATAGTTGCAGTAAGTGTTTGAAGTGGGCTCCAGCCATTGCAAGGCAGACAGCAATGTACCACACAGCATTCTCAGGAACATGCCTTAACATGTTGACATTGTTCATTGTCACTGCTTCTTCAGATGTCCCTACAGGAAAGAATCCATCAGAGTTAGATCTTATAACCGAAAGGCCATGCAGTTGGCCCTTGACATCCCACCCACCTTCTTGGATATGTCATGTTTAAGCACTGCTTGGATATCTTCCCAGTAGTATGCTGGAACCAGAACCTCTGCCTTGCAGCCTTGCTGGAATAGTTTCCAGAAGGTCGCAATGTCTTTGAGCTTCCAGCCTGTCTGGTAGCAGATAGGGGTTCACAGCAATGTTCACAGATGTATGAGGATTCTCCTGTGCCCAGAGGTGACCGTTGTTAACGTTGGAACACACCCTTGTGCATAAAACATACATCATGTGTTCACAGAATGTTATGTAAAAAGAGTTCATTTGCCATGTGTTGATATAGCCATTCACAAAATTGCATCGGTGCCTGAAAACAGATATATGGATGCAGTTGATTGTCATGGTGTACTTCCAAGGACAAGTTGGGATAGTCCCAATTACCTCATGTAATAAGTTGTTTCATTCCGCAGCTGCAGTTATGGCATCTTCATTGCCTGGTGTCCATACAGTCTGCAAGTGACTTGTGTTCACATGTGCTCACTTCTGTCTCGTGGAGGTGCTGCTCCAATTTTTTAAGCACATTAGTGCCTGGTTGGCACCAACCAGCATAAAGTAGTGCATATTCCTGTGCAGTAGGACCAACTCAACTCTTATGTATACTGAGGGTTAAGAACGTGTCACCATATTCATTTTTTGTCTTCCATGATCATTTGATCGCAATGGACCCGTCTTGTGCTGTGTCTTGAGTACAACTGACAGTGCGCAGATAACACTGCTGGTAGGCATATTACCCCTTTTGACAATGATGTATCTTGGAAACTAAGCATCTAAGGGCATATGTTGGATAATCCAAAAAGTATGGATATACAAGTTTCTGTATTGAGCTTGAAGAACCTCTGTTCTCATTCAATGTGTGTGGGCTTGTGTGTGTTGGTGTGCAGCTACATGTACGTAAATGGATGTGCGACTCCATTTGCACTGAACAGATTTTCTGGAAATTTGTTATTATTGTTATGTATTGATCTTGATTTTTCTATCCATATAAGATGCTGAACATAAAACTCACAAACTTTGGCCTGGGAAATATGTTGCTGATATGTGTGGAGATTTATGAATTTGGTAGTAATTGTAATAGTTAATACAGTCATAAGTACAGAAGATAATTTCAAGTGTTATCAGGCTATAAAGGCTGTCCCTGGAGTTGGGTCCTTTGAAATTGAACATTAAACAAGGTACAACCTTAAACTGGGGAGCATTAAGTGGGGGTACTGCTGTAGTTTGTAGGTGTTTGAATAGGATTTAACTCTAAGGACAGGGCCCATTATCAGGTAATTCTGGTAATCCCTGTATCTTCCATAATGGTAAAGTATTTTTCACCAGCTGAATGAACTGTCAACTACTCAGTGAAAATAATTTACTTCAGAGTTGGTTATGTTAATAACTCAGTAAAACAAATTGAATGTGCATTTTGAAATATTGCAAGATTCAGATATTTGTTCTTTTTATTTTCAGGGTATTGATTTTCTCACAAATGACAAAGATGCTGGATATTTTGGAAGATTACTTAGAGGGCGAAGGCTATAAATATGAGAGAATTGACGGTAATATCACTGGATCTGTGAGACAGGAGGCTATTGATAGATTCAATGCTCCTGGAGCACAACAGTTTGTATTTCTGCTCTCCACAAGGTATGCTGACATGGTACATAAATTGTCATCTTGTGAGAAACACATTTGGTGTGTCGCCAATGAATTGTGAAGTGTGTTATTGGGAACTTATCTGTTAGGTTCGGTACTAAAGTGGCACTGTGAAGTCACATTCTATAAAAAGTAAAGGTATCTCTGTAACAGGCTGTGGAAACCCATAGGGTTGTGAGATGTTAAGGTTCCCACATTTTCTAGACAGTTGGCTCATAGATGGCGGCAAGGTTGTCAGCCCTTTACCCCCCAAAATATTCCTGGTTCTCATTTCTGAGTCGACCCCAGGGCCATAGTACGGCTGGAAGTGTTAAGTCAATTGAAAAATCCATTGACCTCATCGGGACTTGAACCCACTGGCTTGTAGCATAGTGCCTCAACCAACTACAGTACTGCGTGCTCCCAGTCACATTCTATACATAGTAAGATATCTTCATACAAAAAGAATAAGACAAAAGTGAATGATCAACTTATACTAGTATATAGGAGTGAGTATGTTACAGACAAACTCAACACAATTGACAACTGAGAAACCATTACAAAGATTTCATTGATTACATTTTTTAATTTGAGATATGGTACAGCGAAGTTTTGTGAAAGTTTGTATCAGATATTCAGAAGTACACATTAGCTTACTACATACCGTATATCCATCAAACTGTACAGACCTGCATTTTGTTTGATCTGTTCAAAATAATAAGTTTTGCATAGGAAACCAGTGCAGTAATTGTGAAATTTCGTACACAGTACGGTGGGTCCCTGCAACCAGATTTTCTGCCTACCATCCAACAAGAAGAAAATGGGGAACATTAAAGAATTTAAAGTACTAGATAAGATTTTGTTATAAATTTGTGTAGGATACTGCAAGCTGAATGTGTTTCCATCATGAAATGTTAAAGTGGAAAGTATTCATTAGAAAGAGCTAGTCTCAGTCACTCTGTGTGGTCATGTGAGGGTGTTGGGGAGAGAGGGGAGAGATGTACCCATCTGGGTAGGAACCTTTCCACTTTTACACCTGATGATGGGAGCAGATCCAACTTCCAAAATATAATATTTTAAATATACCTAAGGTGATAGGCAGTATCCAGTATAAACATTTTGCAATGAAAAATAGACTATTGTCACAAACCTTTAGGGAATCATTGCACAGAACTTAAATGCTTACATATGAAGTCAGATATCAAGATGTATTCACCCTTGTGATAATGTTTCTACTTTTAACAGGGCAGGAGGTCTAGGTATCAATTTGGCAACAGCCGACACAGTTATAATCTATGACTCAGATTGGAATCCACACAATGACATCCAAGCTTTCTCCAGAGCTCATCGAATTGGTCAGGCTAATAAGGTAGTTTTTCAGTTCATACTTCTTTTTCTCAGCTTTAGTCGTCGTAGTTGAGAATATGTTGTGATTAGAATGTTTTAAAACAAACCACAGTGCGATTATGAAGTGTGTATTGAAAGCAGTACTCATGTTTATGCTCTTTAAAGTGGACAGTATGGAATTGTGAAGACTTGTGGGTGCTTTTGCACACTAGCCTTATTATTTGATGAGATTTTATGCGTTCTTTACATGAATTTTATCTCTGAAACTGCTTGGTGGATTTAAATAAAATCTGATATTAGCAATCCAGATCTAAGGTTGTAGAGCAAACGTAATTTTGGTTCATATTTGTCAAATATAATCTCTCTACTTGATGTGAAGTTCAACCCAGACTTTATTATTTTGCAAAATTGGGCCATTGTATAAATGACTGACATGTTAAAGGTCTGCAGCTTTCGTATTGAATCTTATGCCGTTAGATCCAGTTGTATGAGCTGTGATCTATGTGATAGGTTTCTTTCATGTTAAAATGATTATGTAAATAGATACATTTTGATATTGCCACGTAAATTCTTTGTTTACTTAAAATTTGTGTACAGTGTTAAAATTATGGAATGGCAACTAGGCTAGATGTAGGGTGATTTACCTCCTTACATGTAGCTGACTCTGGGTCCCATGCAACCTTCTATACAATAGATACCAGTTGTGTTTTCTGGGGGTAGGGGTTCAGTGCCTAGGGACATAAAGTTGACCACTCACTTCCATTTAGTGCCAAGGTTCTGAATGGTGGAGCTATACCTCCACTCCCATATGTATTCATGGCATGATTCTTATGATTACACATTATGATGCTGTGTATGATTACACATCATACATGAATGTGACATGCTTCTGCAGTACATGTTGTATTTGTGCATAGAAGGTCAGTTGTGGAAGGAAATGCATTTGTTGTTAAAACAACCCACAAATGTAGTATGTTGAAAGAACCGCATGTTGTGTTGACTGAGTGAAATATATCATATGTTACATAGGGAACACTTTTCAACATGATAAATACATCATGTAAGAAACATAAAATAATACCTGGTATTTATGCTCTCTTGTTTGTAAACCAGTCAGCCTCATACCGAGTGGTTTATGTCAGCAATAAATGAACATCAAGACTGCTGAAAACCAAGCAAGTTATGTGTAACAGTAATGCTCTAAGCTTGTATTCAGTGGTTGCCTGTTTCAAATGTTGGCCATTACACCAACTGTCCGGAGGAATGGTCATTTGTTATGAGGTGGATGTGACCCAACACCTCAGACATGAGGTCTTTTCCGTACCATTTCACACATACTTTTAGAATGCCCACAGTATGACAAAAATGATCAGACTTCATCTTCAAGGCATATTGCACTACATCCTCAAAGATGTATCCAAAGTGATGGCATTCCTTCATGGTACAGATGTTAAGTTTGTTTTCTTTTTAGGTTCTGTTTGAGCCATTATTTATTGCTCTATGAATTTTAGTGACCTCTAAACATGTTTTATTGACGTTTGTTTATAGAAATTTTCTTGCTGTTTCTGGACCACCCTACAGTCTGACACAGGTTTAAGTATCTTCTGAAGAGTTCGGATGATGGATATAACACTCAGGATTACTGGGTTTTAGGACTTCACCTGTTTTCTGGCATTTTGAAGAACATAGCATTTTAGAAACTGGATCTGTTTTCATGATCAGGTAAGGGGTGGAAGGCACCTACTCTGTTGGGTCCATTAGAAAGAGCTAACCTCTATCACTGGACCTCTGGTAGCTACTTTTAGCCGACCCCACAGAGAAGGTTTCTCCACCCCCTCACCTGAGGATGGAAACAGATCCAGTTTCCACAATACTGTGTTCTTTTGTGTTCGTTGGAATACTGGATGATGGACAAAGTAATTCTGAGTGGCACAGGTGATCCATCATCAGTGTTATCCAGGCATGTATAGCCGTCAGTAGTGACTTGCCTCTGAACATACCCATTAGCTGGCCTGGGTGAGGTTTTTTGTGCTTTTCCTCAGACTGCCTGGACAAATGATAGAATAGTGCCTCAGGGCATGACTGCTTCTTTCCAGATCCTTTCCTGTTCATTATTCACCATTCATCCTACCCTACCGTTAGAAGGGTAGTCCAAGATACTGACAGCAGCATAAAGTGTTGCCCCTCCCCCCAGTAAAGCCAATTGAGGTATGTAAAATTAAGAATATGTTTAAAAAGTATGTGAACTCCATAGTGGAGGCTGGAGTTTGTGTATCCAGTTTTGTTCATGCTTATGCCTGCCAAGGTTGTGTGTCCATCAGGTCTGTTACTCTGTATTCACTCATGTAGCAAATACAGAGGAACTGTAGAAAATATATTTAAACAGTTTTTGTGACATGGAACCTATGCCTGTTATGGGATTTTGTAATGATAACTTGTTTCTCTAATGCACAGGTTATGATCTATCGATTTGTGACACGTAACTCGGTTGAGGAGCGTGTAACACAGGTGGCAAAACGAAAGATGATGTTGACTCACCTGGTTGTGCGACCTGGTATGGGAGGACGTGGTGCCACCTTCTCGAAGCAAGAGCTTGATGATATCCTGCGTTTTGGAACAGAAGAGCTCTTCAAAGAGGAAGAAGTTAGTGCTGCCACTTGATACTTTGGAAACCAGTCTCAAGCATCTTACATAAAACCCGTGTATTATGCAGGGAAAGCCTGTATGGACAGTTTATAACCTTTGTCCTCGCATGTTATAGCATACTAATTCTGCCATAATAACCCTGAAGTAGAAGTCTCCTGTCTGCTGCTTCAGAGAATATGCTTACCTTACAGGCTGGGGGAGGAGCTGTACTTGTGTTAAAGTGGGAGTACTGTACTGTTTACTGCAAATATGTTTACCACATATTCTGTGGGATAATGACTTTATTAGTGTTTCGTTTAGTTCAGAGCTCTTTCAGCTTTATGGAATGGACTCTCTGATGTACTCCAGTTCATTTTTGAAAGTATGAATCTTTTAGGAACTTGGTAGGTCTCCTTTGTAAGTAGATCAGTTACACTTATAAGTTCATGTTTTATAATTCATTCATTGAATGTTGCTTTGTTACCAGAATTGGCACAGCCTCTTTACGAATGAATGTGCAGCGAGGTATAGTGCCATCAGTCCTACGAACAAAATTATCTCTTTGTCATGCTTGCATGATATCACCACTCACTCACAGAGTGGAGATGTGATAACTGAAGGGTACAACTGCTTGGACATCTATCTGTTCTTTTGTTTAGCCTTCCACTGCCAGCACTTTCAGTCTAAATTGAAAGATCAGTTTTCTGCAGTTGTTGTAACCTTTTCTCTCTGCCCTCTAGGGATCTGAAAACCAAAATGTAGAACTTCTACCATACAGTGGAACCTCCAGTAAATGTTTCATCATTTTAAGGTTTTCCCTTATTTTAAAATTTTAATGATCGCAAGTCAGTAATCTAATTTTAAATTTCATCTATTTAAGATTTTCATGAGTTTAATGTTAAAATCAAGTGTTCCCCCAAAAAGCCTTCAGTGAGGGTTTTGCTGTGTTTGGAAATCTAAATATATTAGTGTGGAGCGTGGTTAAATTTATTTCTTCATGAAACTGTTCATTGTTTTAAAGTCAGGTGTTACTGTGGCTGCTGTCACAGGAAGATAACTTATTTCAAATTCTGTCACAGGAAGATAACTTATTTCAAATTACAAACCGTTTGCTTTGAAGGGTAAGGAGGATGAAGCAATCCATTATGATGATAAAGCAATCGATGAGCTTCTGGACAGATCAAAGGAAGGTATTGAGCAGAAAGAGAACTGGGCAAATGAATACTTGTCATCCTTCAAGGTTGCCAGCTATGTCACCAAGGAAGGGGAGGAGGTAAGTGCATGTGATGAACCATGTTTAGTAATCCTGATAGGTGTTATTAAAAGTTTTATGTGCTGAGGTCACAGCTTTCTGCCAACATTCTGGGACTGTGCCATCGCGCCAAATAGAGTTCAGGAATTATAGAAATCTAATGTGAAATAATTTGCCAGAATATTTAAATGGATTCAGAATTCAATCCAACTTCTTTGGATGCATATAATTTTTTTAATGCAGTGTCTGATGCTGTCTTATGTATATGTTGCAAGACTTGTTGAATTAACATTTCTGATTGTTTACTCTATAGGTGTTGGAAGTTGTTCAGCCATATTTCCTTACTTGTAGGATTTATTTTAACTTGTTCTTGTATGTCATTGTTCAGTATTCTAATTATTATGTATGTTTTTGGTTTTATTACATTATTTTTGAATATTTATTTCCTCTTGAGTTTATTTTGAGTTTTGGTATGGCCACATCTTTCATGCTTCACTCCACTAAAATATCATGTAATTGGTCTTCCATATATTATGCACTTTGTGTGGCCAGGGTGACAACATTTAGTGTATTTTTCTTGTTCCATTTGTTTTCCTTGGTCATACTTGAATCATCATCACAATTTTCAGTCCAGTGTTACTTGTATAGTATCTTGAAAGCCATCAGAGTTCCTACCAGTTGCTTATTAGCCAATGAGTGATTGTCCATTGATAAGGCTCCTACCTTAAAGGCCCTCAACATGAGCTTTAAATCAGCTTTTTCTCTGGCATTGACATGACAGTTATCCTGTAATTTTTGTATCCTTGTACTCATTTTAAACTACCAATCTTGAATAATGTGCTTTATCTTTCATTTTTAGAAAGTTCAGTAGATTATTTTTTAAGTTCTTCAATTTGGAGACTCCACATTTATTCAAGATATACAACAACATTTTTAAACTTGATAGAAATCATTGTTCATCCTAAAACTTGTTACTTCAAAGACTTAATGTTTTCGTGGAATCATCTAGTAGGTGCAGTTGAAAATCATGTGTTAAAAATGTTACGTGTTACCATGCTTGAAACACGTCCACAAAGAATGGTTAACAAATTTACCATAAATTTCCATTGTATGTACAGAGTCACACCTGATTATCCTCTTTCCACCATCAACAAAGTCTGTGTATGGATATCCTGTACATTAAAAGCTCACAACATGTCATCCTTTTGGCCATCATCAAGTATTGTACATGTATCCTTCAATTATCTGCCCAGCATTTACCAGTGTTTACATATGGAGAATTAAAGTAGATACGGTCATTACATAATAGAAGCTTTCATTTCAGGTTCATGTGTTTGTACACACTCTTATTTTGACTATTGTTGTTAGAAATGTTGTGTTATGTTACATTATGTAATTTATAAATTATTGTTCTGCATGGACTACATTGAGAATTGTTATAATGTAACCTATTGAATTTACTGAAGGAAGAAGAACCTACAGAGATCATCAAACAGGAAGCAGAGAATACTGATCCTGCATACTGGGTGAAGTTGCTCCGTCACCATTATGAACAGCAGCAGGAAGATATGGCGAGGACACTTGGCAAGGGCAAACGTGTGCGCAAACAGGTGGGTTGGTGTGCATGTTTGTGTATTAGGACCATCACATCACAGTCTGCATGAACCTTACTCTCGGCTCTAACCCATGCATAATATTCACATTTCATACTACGTAGCTGATTCCAAAAGTAAGGTCTCCAAAGCGCTGGGTAATTTTTCGTGCGGCTATTCGCAACCCTGTTGCATTCGTTACTTCCCCCACTCCCCCCAGTACCACCAAGCATGTACGCACGTAGCTAGGACGCTCAGTCTTGGCATGGTTGCCGTTAGAAATGGAGCTCCCGATTACTAAAACCGCGAAGTGTGAGATTCGCGCAGTTATTTGGTTTTTGAACGCAAAAGGGACTAAACCAATTGAAATTCATTGTCAACTGGTGGAAGTGTATGGCGAGTCGTGCATGGACATAAAGAAGGTCCGCAAGTGGTGTAGGGAGTTTGAATCTGGTCGTACTGCAATACACGACGAAAAAAGAACTGGGAGACCGTCAATTTCTGACGAGACAGTCGCGAAGATTGAGCGAGTCATGCGTCAGGATAGGCGCGTCACACTCGATGATCTCTGCATTTCGGTTCCCGAGGTTTCCCGAACCACCATTTATCGGGTTTTGACAGAGAAGTTGAATTATCAGAAGGTGTGCGCAAGATGGGTCCCGCGAATGCTCACGGAAGACCACAAACGGCAGAGAGTTTACTCTTTCCAGGAATTTCTTCGCTGCTATGCTGACGAAAAGGACAACTTCTTGAATTCAATTGTCACAGGCGACGAAACCTGGGCGTACCACTTCACACCTGAGACAAAACAACAATCACGTCAGTGGCGGCATTCCTCTTCGCCTAAGCCTCGAAAATTCAAGCAAACACAGTCTGCCGGTAAAGTCATGGCAACTGTGTTTTGGGATCGAAACGGGGTATTGTTGGTTGACTTTATGGAAACTGGGACCACAATAAACGCTGAGAGATATTGTGAGACACTGAGAAAACTCAGGCGGGCGATTCAGAACCGGAGAAGAGGGATGTTGAGCAAGGGCGTAAGCATTCTCCACGATAACGCTCGCCCCCATGCTGCCCGACAAACCGTCGCTCAACTGCAACAGTTTGGATGGAACATCATCACCCATCCACCCTATAGTCCGGACTTGGCGCCCAGTGACTACCATCTCTTTCCAAAGTTGAAAGAACATTTGTCTGGAAAGCGCTTCAACAACGACGATGAGGTGAAAGCTGAGGTTCGAAGTTTCCTGAACAGCATGGAGGTGAACTGGTATGACATGGGCATACAAAAACTGCCACTGCGCCTACAAAAATGCATCGACCGAAATGGCGATTATGTAGAGAAATGAGTACATGTTCAAGATTCAACTGATGTATCCAAAATTGAAAATAAATGTTTATTTTATATTTTCAAACATAGGAGACCTTACTTTTGGAATTACCCTCGTATAAATTACTCGACCTCTCAGCCCCCCTAAATCTTTTCTGTGGATTCTAGTTGTTGGTAACAAATTGCTCAATATTAATGAAAAATAATGTTGTGAGGGAGTGTGAATGTCGATGGGGTTTTGGATTGGATATTAGATTTATTGTCCACTTATAACTGGAAGCAATTACAGCTCTATTACTAATCTTCACAATTCACAAATCACCACAGCACCCTCTTAAGTCTTTTTCAGCCTGCTGTGTCTTCACCAGCCGTTCCCTGGTAACGGCTTTTGGGCTCAAGACCTCTCTGAACAGCAGCATCCTTCCAACTGTCCCTTTTCTTCACAGCCTCCCATATAAAACTGACATTTAGCATTATTGGGGCTTAGAAGTTAATGATTTCCTCATGCCCAAGTAACCTGTTATACTTGTGGCTGACAAGTTATTTTAACAGTGCACACTGGAAAAATCTGCTGCTCTAAAGTTCAGATATAATCACAACGTGGGCATTTCTCATTGGCAAAAATCTGGAGAGGACTTTACAATGAGACATCATGTCATGATAAATACAGTCCTGAAAATATTATCTCCTCCTGCAAATGTGTGTAACATGTTGAAGAGTCAGCCAGTATTTTTTTTAAACATATAGTGCAGTGGCACCGCATTTTGACTCACTCCTTCCATCTCATGGTTGAGTAAATTCTTTCTTAAGTCCAGGAATATTGATTGACAGAGAGACAAAGGGTGTGTTAATGGAATCACTGTAGACTGCCAGCTGTAAATAGTATAGCTGCAAGTACAGTTGGTGCAAGTGCTTAAGGAAAATAGTCATTACAAGTTACATATCACTCGTTAGACAAATGGTTCCAGTAATAAAAGGCCCCCATTCTGTTCAATATTTGTCCGTATATGTGACATTAAGAAACTGGTGGTGCCGGTGATCTTGCTGACTGTAATTCTTGCTGTAAGTCGTACGCTCTCTATGTCAGCTATACTGTGCTTGCAAATTGAACAGAAATAATGTTTTTGTGTTCATAGGATCTTTAGACACCATCTAGCAGTGAGAGTAAGTGATGTGTCTACTACACATTTCATTATTTGGAGCAATGCAAAAGTAACAATAGGAAATAGTTTGGCTCTGAATTAATTTTTTTGCTCAGTTCAGAAGATGTTTTGGTTTATTTTTAAATCAAAGCACTGAAAATTGAACTTAAAAAGAGATTTTGTCTTACCCATGTACAGTACATTTAAAATTATGTTTCAGGTTAACTACAATGATGGTACAGTAGAAGGTAGAGACGATGCTACCTGGCAAGAAAACCTCTCAGATTACAACTCTGACTTCTCAGCTCCATCTGGTAACTTGTTTATGATTTTGTATGTGACTGTCAGTTATCACCATTTACAGTCTTGACACCCTAGACTCACTTTTGTGTACTGATCCATCCTTAAACAGGTACCACTGCATTCTCTCCTTTTTGTCTCTCATGTGCCCTCTTGCGTGTTTATGGGTTTATTGAATATTAGCAAATTACAAAACCTAATATCTTCATTTGAGAGTTTTTGGTAACAAAATTTGAGACCATATGTCATATTAATGGTAAGAGATAGTACAGTTGTAACATGCCTTCTTTCTTTGAACAGATGATGACAAAGAAGATGATGATTTTGATGAGAAAACTGATGGTGAGCCTGGACGTCGTAGTCGCCGCCGTCTTGAACGTAGAGATGAGAGGGACCGTCCATTACCTCCATTGTTGGCACGTGTTGGTGGTAACATTGAGGTAAGTAAGGCGCAGGCATTATGAGTTTGAAATCCGAGTTTGTTTAAAAGCAGTACTGATTGATTGAGGTATATGAGTCAGTATTTTTGGAAACTCGGTAAAGCAATTATCGGTTTATTGATGCGTGGAAGTTTTAGAAGAGTTGTCTTTTGAAGTAGTGGACTTCTCTTAAAGGCCTTCCCATACATTTTACTGTGGAAAATTTCAGAGTTTGTACAATGATTTGTCCACTGAAGTGTTTGGTTATACACCAGGCCATGGACTCAGTACATTAAACTTTAATTACAAATTAAAATACAGAGGGGGTGGTTGGGGAGTAGTATGATTTGACACAGAACTGAGGAAGATCTTGAGTGGAACACCTGTGATTTTAGGCTTCAGACCATTGAAATTGTACATTGAATGGGGGTTCTACTATGTTTCTGAACAGTTTTTTATACTCCAGTGTAGAACTGAAATGAACGACACAGGACTGATTTATTAACACAATCAGTGACAGTGGCAGCAGCAGCATCATAGGAGATACTCATCATAATGTGTCTGGCGTGACATTTCTTAATGATGCAGGGGTAGCCAAATCTGACATTTTAGGATGTCATAGGTGCATATAGTGCCATTATTATACATCCATAATAATTTATCTATGTTTAAATTTGCAGTTTTATCCAGAATCGCGCAGAACCCCCACAGTCTCACACACACACACACACACATAACTTTATTTAATTTTATACCACCTTAAATAATGGTTGATTTTACTTGATTTTTATTCCAGACATAAATAGCCATAGACGCTGATGTGCCTTTAAACCCAACTCACTGGACAGTAACAGCAAATTAACTTGCTCTCCTAGTATCAAAGTCAGCTCACACCATATCAGAGTCCATGGAATATTGTAGAAGGGTTATTCAGAAAGTAGCCTTCAGTGAGTTGTTGACAGAACAAGCAATGAGAGAAGAAAGTTGTTATATACAAAAAATAAGTACATACTTAAATTACTTTTCCACATGGTCATTGCCAGATTTGAAGAACTTGTCATATCAAGGAATAAGTTTTTGTATACCTCTGTCAGAGAAATTAGCCGCCTGTGATATCAGCCTCGTTTAGACACCTTCCATCAGCTCTTCATTATTATTGAAGCACTGTGGTTGCAACCAGTTCATCAGTTAGGTAAACAGATGATAATCACTCTGAGCGAGATCAGGGCTATAAGGAAGGTGGTTGAACAACTGCCAGTTGAAGCAGTGCTCAAGTGTGAGCACCTATATGTGGACGCATGTTGTCATAGAGGAGCACTACACCAGATGTCGGCATTCCACGCTTTTCATTGTGAATGGCCCTATGCCCACCACACTTGTGATGTTACTGTGGTCCCTTGTCACATGAATTCCACCATCAGTAATTGTAGAAAGAAGTGCTTTTTAACCTTTATCGGACGAATGTCATCATATGATGTCGTTAAAAGTTAGGGCAGCTGGCTGAACGTCATCATATGATGTCGCAGATTCCACGCGTGTAAGGTTTTTTTTAATATTATATTAAAAATATAAATTGTTCTATTTACATGATTTTTGGTCACCACCTTTATAATGAGACAGCCTTCGTTCCTGCATGATCAAATGTAATCTAGGGACGTCATATGACGTTAAAAGTAAG